TCTTCTTCTCTCTCTCTCTCTCTCTCTCTCTCTCTCTCTCTCTCTCTCTCTCTCTCTCTCTCTCTCTTCCTCTCTTTTCCCCCTCGCCATTATTTCCCTCCTCTTATCGTACGTTTTCAGAGCGCGCCGGGCACATTCCCCGCACGACGGTTTCATCCGGGATGTAAATACGATGGTGGTATATCCGCAGATTCGTTCGCGGTAGCACGTGCCCGCGTTCGTGCTGCGTTTCAAACCCGAAACTCATAAATTACCTCTCGAAATGTAACACACGCCCGCGGCATCGCGCTTTCCCGAATATCGATCAACGCGGGGACATATTGGAAACGTTAATTGCATCGGGGAGAGAGAGAGTTGACTGTTAGCTTCGGAAAATCAAATATCCCTTTAACGGCCGCTACATCGTACGTTAACGTGCCCGTTGTGCAAATTTTTCTCGCGAGATTTCCCTCTTGTTGTTCCCTCTTGAATCGCGCAAGGAGATTACCAATCCGCGAAACGAAATCACGATAATCACCGTGAAATCAACCGAAGATTCTCTCACTGTGTACTTAAATATTTGTCACGGTCGGCACTCGCTCGTCGCCCCGGCTCTTTTAACTCTATAAAATCGAGACAGCCTAGGTCAGGGACGCGTAATCTACGCATCCGGCGCATCAGACGTGTGCATTTTCGCCGGCGTTGAAAGCCACGCAGATTACGGTCGTCCGCGGACGGAGAATTGCTAGTAATGTTTATACGCGGTCGGGAGAATGTGACGTTAAATTTATATGATTTCGAAGCACGCGGCGAAATGAGAGACTCGCGGACGCGACCGTGAAGAGATTTCATAGAATTACGCAAACTGGTGGCGTAACGACCAGCCGAGGCTCCGCGGAAAGGAAGGCACGTAAAGGCGCCGATACTCTTCTTTCGATTCGCAAATCGTTATCGCCGATGCACGTGGTGATAATCGAATTAAGAGGAATGATGAGAGAAGATTTAGATTAGGATTTACTTTTACGATGAGAGAAAAAGTTTCCGAGAGAAAATCTTCGTCGGTAGTATTTTAAAATTGAACGTCATATCGCGGGGCTGAAAGAAAATTCCCTCGCGATTTCTACGATTTTCCTCGCGTAGTTTCGTCGACCGGCAAATTACGTATCGCGTACGTGAGACGTGGAGTTGACGCGGTTAGGCGATTCACGATGATGCGCGCGAAAGACCGGCGACAGAAGTGGCGACGAGAGAAAAGAGCGCGACATCATCAGGTATGCGGCTGCCGTGTGACACGTGCAAGGTTTAAGGAGGGAATAATCGTGTGACATCAAGTCGGAAATAGAACGAACTGGTCGTCGAAAAGACGACTCGTCTGCGTTATCACGTTCGATATGCAGTTCATCCTCGTGAGCTTTGTTTTTTTTTATGCCAATGTCGAATGTTGAAAACTTGGATCTACAGTTCGATCAAAATACTCGAGCGACTTCGTTGTGACCTCGACGTTTTAATATTACTTTAACATTCTTAAAGGTAGTTTACATCTATTTTAATATTCTAGGAAAAACTAGGAAAAACTAGGAAAAACTCGCTTTGACGATGTTTTATTTATTAAACTCCTCTTTTAAACTATGAATTTCCACGGATTTAATTTTAATGCTACCTTGAAATTATCTGAGTCGAAATTTTATTTCTATTTTTGACTTTAAAACTTTTAAACATTTAGGTTTTACAAGATCGTTAGAAGTTTATTTTACATGAATGAGTTTTTATTTTTGCACTTGAAATAAAACAAACACACAGTTTTCTACCTTGTTTAAAAATGCAGCTATTTTCAATAGAATTTTGTAATTCTAAATAGGTTGTAGGTCTTAAATTATATCAAAAGAAGTCTGCTTTATATATATAGTATCAGAATGGATGTAAAAATTCTAATTCAAAAATTTCTATTCGGCATGCTTTCAAATTTCTGGTGTTACTTTGACTTTACACTTAGCGATATTAAGATTAAAGTAAGAGCAAACTATATTATGAATCTATCTTAATATCTTAGCTTCTACTGCATTGTAGAATTAAAAATTTAACCAAGGATCAAAACTTCGACTCGGAGGAGGAGGGGGAGGGGGGAGAAAGGGCATAAGAAAATTCAAATGTCTAA